CATGACTGGATTGACCCCCGACTCTGGACCTGCTTGTGGAGAAGTGCAGAAAGTTGCTGTTGATCTGCTTTTCTGCATCTCTGCTCAAAACCCATCCAGATTCAGGGGCTCAATCGAATCCTGATTGCTAGTGGGACCCAGGAAGAGAAAGGAGGTGCACCCAGGTAAGAAAATCCCAAATAAAATTGGGTGAAGTACGTTTATGTCACWTGGGAGTTCRTAATGGGCAGAAAAAACAGGCATCGGCATCTGTGTCAGGGCCTGAGTTCGAAAAGGCGTTCGTAACTCAGGCCGGCGGTGGTGTCAGGATGGAGGTTTCATTAAGGCGGCTGTGTCTTTTTCTTTTTTTGTTTTTTCTTTTTTTCTTTCTTTTTGTTATTTTTTTTTTTTCTTTTTTTTCGGTCGGTCGCCCCGCGGCGGCAAGGAGAAAAAAAAGTTTTTTTTTCCTTTTTTTTTCCGTCGGTCGCACTGCGCCGTGACGTGCCACTGCTGGGAAAAAAAAAAAAAAAAAAAACCATGGTCGGGCCACGGCCGGGGTTTGGCCTATAAATCTGAGCCATGGCCAATCTGGGGTGTGGCCGAGACATCTCGGCCGTGGCCAATGTGGGTTGTGGCTGAGACATCTTGGCCGTGGCCAATCTGGGGCGTGGGTTTGGGTTACTAGTGGGTGTGGGTTTGGCGTGGGTTTCGTGTGGGTTTGGCTTGGGTTACTAGTGGGTGTGGCTTGGGCGTGGGTTTGGCGTGGGTTTGGCATGGGTTTGTCGTGGGTTTGGGTTACAATGGGCGTGGGTTTGGGTTACTAGTGGGCGTGAATTTGGCGTGGGTTTGGCGTGGGTTTGGCGTGGGTTTCGCATGGGTTTCCAAACCCACCCCCACCAGTAACCCAAACCCACGCCAAACCCACGCCCACTAGTAACCCAATGGGTTTGGCGAGGGTTTGGGTTGGGTTACTAGTGGGCGTGGGTTTGGCGTGGGTTTAGCGTGGGTTTCCAAACCCACGCCCACTAGTAACCCAAACGCACGCCARACCCACGCCAAACCCACGCCAAACCCACGCCAACTAGTAAGCGTGGGTTTGGGTTACTAGTAGGCGTGGGTTTGGGTTACTTGTGGGCGTGGGTTTGGCRTGGGTTTGGCGTGGGTTTGGCGCGGGTTTGGGTAACTAGTGGGCGTGGGTTTCGACTGGGTTTGGTGTGGGTTTGTCGTGGGTTAGGCGTGGATTTGCTGTGGGTTTGGCGTGGGTTTGGCATGGGTTTGGCGTGGGTTTGGCGTGGGTTTGGTGGGTTTGGCGTGGGTTTGGCGTGGGTTTGCCCTGGGTTTGGGTTACTAGTGAACGTGGGTTTGGAAACCCACGCCAAACCCACGCCAAACCCACACAAAACCCACGCCAAACCCACGCCAAACCCACACAAAACCCACGCCAAAC